TTCTTACAGCATTTGAAATATGTTTCGCTTATAGGAATGGACAAATCACCGACCGATCAGGAACCAAACACTCAGATGATGAATAACCCACTATTCTTGGGAAGTAAGCATTGTCGTCAAAATATTCCACGTGCCCGCATCCTCTCCGATGTTGGTGAGTTTGAAATGATACATATTATAAATATCACTGTTTAACGTAGATTCATTAATGTCCCTAATTAGAGTTGGACATAACTTTTTCTAATTAAAAATCAATTAAAATTAAATAAGTAAAAAGTTTTATTTTGATTAAATTTTAACTGCACGTGCAATTGTAAGACACAATAAGTACAGTTGACCTAGTTTCCAACAATGGTAGTGTCTTGCAAAACTATCATACCCCCACAAGCAGGATATTGACATTGATGCAATCACAGATATTTTTGAGATTTCTCTGGTTTAATTCTATTGATTTTTGCGTATGTGTTTAGTTCTGTTTGATTTTTTCACATGAGTAGGTTTGATTTCCACCACCATAGTCAAGATGCAGAAGATTTTCATCCCCACTTGAATATGTCACTTTACCTTTTTACACCTATGCCTGCCTCAGCCTAAGTCCCTGGATATTCAGTTTACTTATGGCATGCACCAGTTCTTCCTTCTTATTTGTTGTTGAGGACTTTCCCATAGTATGGATGTACCAAAATTTTCATATCGATTCACTGTTGAAGAACATCTGGAATTTTCCCAGTGTTCAGTATTGCAGGTAAAATTTTGATGACCCTTCATGTACCAGTTTTATTTTTCAGGTGTTTCTGAAAACAAGTTATTTAAATAAGTGTTTAAATACATAACATAACATTAAAACTGAAGGAGTGAAAAATAACACCTCAAGAATCATTTTTTTTTACTTCCATGGCATTGGGCAGCTGTTGCTAAGAAGTTGCAAGCTCTATAGCTAGCTATGTGACTGACACTTCAGTTTGAAATTTGTTCCCTTGTGAAAAGTTTAACTCTGATAAGAAGGTTGGCCTCAAATTATGGTGTTTGGATAACAATTAGCTAATATCTGTCTGGTCAAAAAGACCTTGGTGACAAGCCACAAGTCCTTACACCTCACTGGAGGGAAGGTGGCAGGCTTCTTGCTCTAAGCTCCATCACTTGGTCAGGTGTAGACCTGTGATTATGGAAGGCTCCCTCTAGTGGTACACATGCCGCTGCTGCTGCCTTACCCCTCTCCTCTCAGCTTCATGGAAGGCTGTTCAGGCCCAGGTGATGACATTCTCTGAGGGCAGGGAACTCTGGTGAGGATCTTTGGCCAGACATGGGCTTGGCTGAAACATCACGGTATTGCTCCGTTTCAGGCTGGACACTGCCAGGCGCCTACTGCTTGACCTCTGTTTAAATGAGGAACTTCAAGACTAGATAGCATGGCTCTTTTCAGTTTATTGCATGAAGGAGTTACACTAGTCCAAGTTAAAAGCAGACCCCAAATGGTTACATTATACAAGCTGTGAGGTTTTTAAACTTGTGACAAGGGACAGGAGGGAAATTCTACTCATTGCAAAGAAATCCTCACTTAAGCTTCTGTGAGCCAAAAGCACTTAAAACCCATGAACCTTCAGCTGGTCGTCCTTAGCCAGTCCAGTCTCCACGAGGAACTGGCATATGTTCTTGCGCTGGTCACCCTGCAGCTGAATTACTTCTCCATATTCTGGATGCTCAATTACAGTACCATTGCAGGCAAATTTCTTCTTAAAGGCCTTCACTAGTTTCTTTTTATCGTAATCATCAGCGATCCCTTGAACAGTAGTAAGGGTCTTCCTGCCGCTTCTCTGTTGAATTCTTATATGGATATAATCCTCAGTGCCAGCGGGAAGCAGGTCATCACCCTTACTTGCATCAGCAAAGGGGTCGAAAGAGTGGAGGTTCTGGATAGCAGACGGTCGAAAGAGGAAGTTCTGGATAGCGGACATACGATACGATTCCTTTTCCTCAGTGGAAATAGCCTGTGGAAGGCTGCGTCGGGAGAAGGCGGGCAGGGGGAACTGAGCATCGGGAAGCCATGGGGGCTCTAGGGGGAGGTTGCTGAGTCCTCGGCGGTGGCTCAGTCACTCCATGTACCAGGTTTTTTTTGTACACTTAAGTTTGGATTTCCCAAGAGTTCAGATGCTTAGTTGCATGGTAATGGCATGTTTAGAAACTGCCAACAGTTTTCCAGAGAGTCTGTGCCATTTTACTATTCTCTGGCAATCTATGAGTTAGCCAGTTTCTAGACCTCCATGTTCCTGATGCTTTCATTATTCTTTCTTCCTCTTTGACGCACCAAGATTTCTTCTTTCATCATTCTTTTCTGATAGGAGACATTTCCCTGGCCATTCTCAAGTGTAAACTGCCAATTGAGATATACTTTTAGCTTTCCTTCATGTGAGAATGTCTTTATTTCATCTTTATTTTTTTTAAGCGTTGGAACGTTCATTTTTTAGTTTTATTGAGGTATAATAGAAAAATAAAATTGTAATATATTAATATTGAACAATGTGATGATTTGATACACACATTTGAAAGGATCCTTAACATGGAGTTAATTAGTACACCCATCGTTTACCTCTTTATGTTTTGTTGTGAGAACGCTGAAGTTTTACTTTCTAATCAAATTGCAATTATATAATACAGCATTATCAACTATAGTCACCATATTGTATATCCCCTGACATTAGTTCACCTTTTAACTGATAGTCTGTACCCTGTTACCAGCCTCTCTGTATTTTTCTCATTTCCCAGCCCCCTGCAGACACCGTTCTACGCTGTGATTTTATGAGTTTGACTTTTTTTAGATTCCACATATGTGATACCATACAGTATTAGTCTTTCCCTGTCTGGCTTACCTCACTTAGCATCACGTCCTCAAAGTCTGTCTATTTTGTCACAAATTTGCTTTGTGTTTGAATGACAGTTTTGCCTGTTATGGAATTCATGGTTGAGATTTTTTTGTCTTCCCACACCTGAAAGTATCTATATTCTCTATATATAAAAGTCTAAGCAACCGGTTGACCAGCCGACCATCCAACTGGACAGTAGCTATGATGCGCACTGACCACCAAGGGGCAAATGCTCAATACAGGAGCTGCTGAGCTGCGGTCACTTGGCAGTGGTGGTTCGCAGGTGATGCACCCGGAACTAGAGAGGAGGAAGCCTGATTCTGGGGTGTGTCACCCAATAACTGCCCTCTCACAATCGGGACCCCTCGGGGGTGTCAGAGAGCCAGTTCAGCACAATCCCTGCAGGACAGGCTGAGGGACCCCACCAGTGCACTGGGCCTCTAGTTTTATTTATAGAAATGTTGGTAGGAGCTCAAACAAACTTGACAAAGAGACCTGAAACAACAAATGATCCAGTTGTCTTGGAAAACTACACTAGCCAAACAATTCCTTAGTATGTTGCTGTATTTATACCAGTTTTGTAGGGTTTGAAATGATACTTATGAGGGGTAGCACCTTTAATCTAGATTTATCAACATTCTTAGTGAAAAAGATAGCGGCAGCATTTTCTAATTAAAGTTTTTATTTTCAGATATATTTAGTAGCATCTGCAGTTGTAGGAAATGATATAGAGAATCTCTGTGTTCCCACTACCAAAATTCCCCCAATCGTATCAACTTGCAAAATGGTAGAAATGTATCACTATTAAGTTAAATGACCTGATATCCTCCAGATATTGTTGAGATGTCCTCAGTTTCACTTCTGTTAATGTGGGTGTTTATTTCTATACAGTTTTATCACGTATCCTCAACCCCAGGCAAGCCCTCAAACCAGTTTTATCACCACCATGACTCTTCATATTGCTCTTTTGTAAGCATACCCTGCTCCCTCCAGTTGACACTCCCCGGCCCCATTGCCATCCCCTGCCCTCTCTCTAGCAGCTGGTAATAACAAATCTGTTTCCCAGATCTGTAATTTTTCCCTTTTGCATTGTTATATAAATGGAACTCTGTGGTACTTGAGATTGACTTCTTTCCCTCAGGGTAATTTCTTAGAAACAGACTCATGTCCTTGTGTGTATCACTTATTCCTTTTTTTTAAAAAAATATATTATATTGATTTTTTACAGAGAAGAAGGGAGAGGGATAGAGAGTTAGAAACATCGATGAGAGAGATCGATCAGCTGCCTCCTGCAGGGCCCCTACTGGGGATGTGCCCGCAACCAAGGCACATGCCCTTGACCGGAATCGAACCCGGGACCCTTCAGTCCACAGGCCGACGCTCTATCCACTGAGCCGAACCGGTTTGGCACTTACTCCTTTTTTTTATTGAAGAGTAGTATTTCATGGTATGGATATTCCATGGTATATTTATCTATTCACCTTTTCAAAACTTTCGGGTTTCCTGTTTGAGTTATTAGGGTAAAGCTGCTCATAACACTTGTTCATCTGGATATCCATCTGACTTGTGATCTGCATCCATAGTTCCTTCTTTTTGTTGAGGATGTACTATGGTTTGGTTTCACCACTCTTTGTGTATTGGTTCACTATTAAAGAACATCTGGATTTTTAAATCTTGCTTCATTTCATTCATTTCACTCTTTCACAAAGTTTTCATTTCTCTGAGTTGAATGCCCAAGATTACAATTTCTGGTCTTTGGTGATTGTGTCCTTAATTTTGGATAAGAAACTGAGAAACTGCTTTCCAGTGTGGCTTCACCATTTTCCATTCCCATCTGAAATGTATGAGTGGACCAGTTTGTATCCATATTTGTTGTCTTTCCTTTGTTCTTTGTCCTTCTTTATTTTATTTTTTTATTTTATTGTTTTATTGCTTAAAGTATTACAAAGAGTATTACATATGTCTCCTTTTTTCCCCCGCCCTTGACAATCCCCTGGCCTCCCCTACCCTCCAGTGTCTTATGTCCATTGGTTATGCTTATATGCATGCATACAAGTCCTTCGGTTAATCTCTTACCCCCCTCTCTCCTGCCCCCCAACCCTCCCAGGCCTTCCCGCTGCAGTTTGACAATCTGTTTGAGGCAGCTCTGCCTCTGTATCTATTATTGTTCATAAGTTTATAATGGTCTTTATTATCCATGAATGAGTGAGATCATGTGGTATTTTTCCTTCATTTATTGGCTTATTTCACTTAGCATAATGCTCTCCAGTTCCATCCATGCCATTGCAAATGGTAAGAGTTCCTTCTTTTTTACAGCAGCATAGTATTCCATTGTGTAGATGTACCACAGTTTTCTAATCCATTCATCTACTGATGAGCACTTAGGCTGTTTCCAGATCTTAGCTATGGTGAATTGTGCTGCTATGAACATATGGGTGCATATATCCTTTCTGATTGGTGTTTCTGGTTTCTTTATTAATGCTTAAGAGTTTTTCTATGATATCTTTTCTGTTTGGAGATTTACTGTTAGCTATACCAAAAGAGGAATCAATCAGTGACGTATACTTTTCCTTTTTCTACAAATATACTTATTTTGGCTTCATTACGGAAGGATAGTTTTATTTGATATAGAATATGAGTTTGGGAGTCTTTTCTTACAACATTTGAAAAATATTTTCCTTGTAGAAGAGGACAAAGCACCGACCAACTGGGAACAAAATACTCAGATGAAGAAAAACCCACTATTCTTGGGAAGTGAGCATTGTAGTCAAGATATTCCACGTATCCGCATCCTTTCTGGTGTTGGTGAGTTTGAAATGATACATCATACAAATATCAATGTTTAATGTAGATTCATTAATATTCTTAATGTGAGCTAGAGGTAGCTTTTCCTATTTAAAAATCAGTTAAAATTAACAAAATAAAAAGTAAAAGTTTCATTTTGAGTAAAATTTAACTGCACATGCAATTGTAAGAAACAATACAGAGAGATCTTCTGTACAGTTGTTCCAGTTTCACCCAATGATAACATCTTTTTTTTAAAAATATATTTTATTGATTTTTAACAGAGAGGAAGGGAGAGAGATAGAGAGTTAGAAACATCGATGAGAGAGAAACATCGATCAGCTGCCTCCTGCACATCTCCTACTGGGGATGTGCCCGCAACCCAAGTACATGCCCTTGACCGGAATCAAACCTGGGACCTTTCAGTCCGCAGGCCGACGCTCTATCCACTGAGCAAACCTGTTTCGGCAAATGATAACATCTTGCAAAACAATACCACAATACCACAACCAGAATGTTGACATTGATGCAACCCACAAATTGTCTTCGGATTTCTCCATTTTAAGTCTATTGATTTGTGTGTATGTGTTGGGTTGTGTTTGATTTTGTCACATGAGTAAGTTTGATTTCCACTACCTTTCCACCACCACAGTCAAGATACAGAACATTTCTATTCCCATATGTATGGGTCATCTTGCCCTTTTATCACTACATCTTCCTCAGCCTAAGTCCTTGGATGTTCATCTGACTTGTGGCATGCATCAGTAGTTCCTTGTTTTTATTGTTGAGGACTATTCCATGGTATGGATGTACCACAGTTTGTGTATTGTTTCACTGTTGAAAAACATCTGGATTTTTTCCAGTGTTCAGTATTTCATCTAAAGCTGTGATGACCGTTCCTGTACAGGTTTTGTGTAGACATAAGTTTTGATTTTTCATAGACAAATACTCAAGAGTACAGAAGCTTAATGGTATGGTAATAAGATGTTTAGTGTTATAAGAAACTACTAAGAGTTTGTTATCGAGACTGTACCATGCTACTTTCCTGCCTGTGATGGATGACTCAAGCCAGTTTCTAGACATCCACGTTCCTCCTTTTCTTATTCTTTCTAGGTCTATTGAGCTCCAAGGTTTGTTCTCTCACCATTCTTTTCTGATAGGAAATATTTCTTTAGCCATTCCCATGTGTAAACTGCCTTTATATATATTTGGCTTTCCATTGTGGGAAAAGGTCATTATTTCATGCTTTTTCTTTTTTAGAAATGTATCCTCATTTCTTTTATCAGCTTTCTTGAGATATAATTGACAAACAAAATTTTAATGTATATGCAGTGCATAATATGATGATTTGATA